AGATATCATCACGAAATGAACAAATCTGAGAGAGGTCCACATGTAGTACCTATATATGTAGTATCAAAGCAATTGGACTTGCGGTTTTTAACAGGAAGTCGAAAATATCAGTTTTTACCAAAAATGACAAAAATATTCACCAAAATTAAAGAATTAAAGATATCATTACAAAATTAACAAATCTGAGAGAGGTCCACATGTAGTACCTATAGATGTAATATCAAAGCAATTGCACTTGCGGTTTTTAACAAGAAGTCGAAAATATCAGTTTTTACCAAAAATGACAAAAATATTCACCAAAATTAGAGAATTAAAGATATCAACATGAAATGAACAAACCTAAGAGAGGTCTACCCAAGGTACATATACACCAAGTATCAAAGCATTTAGGCTTGTAGTTTTCAAGAAGAAGTCGAAAAAGTAAAACATTGACACGGACGACGACGACGGACAATCACTCATATGATAAGCTCCGCTCGACAAAGTCGACAGCGGAGCTAAAAAAATAATTACGCATTTATGCTGGCGGTAAGAAGTATTTTTTTTCACTTTTCCTAGTTGTTCAATAGTCTGGTAAATTGAATGTGTCTGGTCAGTTTTATTCAAGCAACACGTTTTAAAAAATAGTGTGCTGAATTTCAATTACTGTTTTAGTCACATTGCCCCCAACTCAAACCACAACTCGTTGGTTAATAATCGATGAAATAGTTTGTCTGGACACATTCAAGTTCCTCTCATTGTCACCTTAAAGCTGTGAAAATTTGGTGTTAATCTGACGACAATAAGTATACGTTATTTTTTGTTAAAGACCTTGTATTTTGAAAAACATAATCCTAGAAAACGTCCATGAAGTAACAGCAAAGATTTTCAAGCTTGTTTAGCGGCACAATAAATTTGTTTTCCCATCAAGGTCTGTTTTAACATGTGTAGGGACATCCAAATGTGTAGGCTATTGGAAACCAAAAAAAATAAAGGAATGGGATAGCTATATTTGGATAAATTCGGCATATGAAAACACCAAAATCAATGATTTTTTTTCAGTGGCTGTGTGACCTTATGTCTGACACATTCATATGCAAATGACTAATCTGTGAAACAAACAGGGGCGGAGACAAACCACTCAAATTTTTGGAAACACTCATTGTGTGTCAGATAGCTATTGATAACACATCCTAACATTGCTTTGTCTTGAATTTATCTTTGAAACTTATAGGCACACAGATTAAACCTGTGTTGTTGATTTTGGAAAACACTACTGAGGCTGCCTTGCTTTCCTTCAGAAAATCTACATTTTAACCAACATTGTCATGCAATTTATGACAAACTTTCTTACACATTATGAGTAGGCTTCTACCTTAAATTGTATTCTTGTGGCAGACAGTTAATTCAGGGAAACCCAGCTTTTTGTAGTCTTTCAAATAAGACCACTAATCAACTTATTTGTATCTAGTTTACATTGTACTTTCATGAAACTAAATGACCCAAAACAACCGTAGACAGTTCATTCTAATACATTCTGGTTTGCAAAGCAAATACAACCAAAAAATGACCTGCTAAAATACACATACAGTTTATTGAAAAATTATATTAGACATAAGTTGCAAAGAAAGAAAGCTTACATCACTGCTTTAAATATGGTATCCGATACTTCACAGATCTTCACAGCAATGGTACTGGTATCTGAGATGGATATGTGCCAACATTGCAATCTTTAACATTTATGAGCAAGTTTCTTAATTAAAGTATCTAATATTTTCAAATAAATTACAAAGTTAAGGGGTACTACCATTTCAAGGAATAAAGAATAATGGTTTCAGATAAGTGGAAGGCAAAATTCTTTTTCTTTTAAAAAAGAAAACGTTACATCAAAAATTTTACTCCTGAAAAATCTGCTTCTGATAAAATGCAATTTAGCTGACTGCATGCACTGCTTTTAGGTGTTCCGCATGCTATTCATTTACACAAGTATTCATATAGTAATGTTACGGTGGTAGACTGCAGCTCAAAATAACCTAGAACCAAAACCAAACACAGTCTTTATCCGTTCCCAGTAGTTGCGGATCCATCCTTCTTTTGTTCTGTCCAGTTCATTTGTTGGAACATTCGTCTGTGTCAATTGTAATAAAGTGCAATCTGATTTTTGTTGTAATTCTATGGTGACTGTTGAGTAGTGTTCAGCTGGCCAAGATTTGCATCGCCATCTTTGAACTATCTTTTCATTTCTTACCTGTAATATAAAATAACAAAATCCAAATTGCATGACAAGTAGGATGCTTGCCATAGAGGGCACTAGTCAGACACAACAAATCTATAAAGAAACATGTTGTATCATCTTCAACACACATAACCATAATGAAGAACCATCAGCCCAATGCTACTTTTGTTGCCATTACACCTTGTTAAACTTACCAGCTGTGTGAATACACCTGTCACATTACCATCTAAGAATGAGAACTTTCCACCTTCAACTGCCTCTATTTCCACTCCTGAGCCCATATAGGCACACACTTTCTGCAATAGATTGATCATGATTAAATCAGTGTTTCAAACACTACGAAATACCAGAACAAATGATGCCAAGTGAACAGGTTGAGCAACTACATACAGTATTAATTTTTATATCACAGATTGTGGTACCGGTAATAATGATTCATTTTGGCAAGCTTACACGAGTATTTTCGAAATTATATTTCAGTCCCACCAAAAACAGTGAAATCTTAAATTTGACGAATTTGAGCAAATAACAAGAACTTGTGTCTGCTGATATCAACCTAAGAAACTATCATGGGATTATATATAAAAAATCAAAAGAATATGCTTTCATTGGCTGGACTATTTACAACGCATTATGATTGGTTGTTTTTAATGAACATTTGAAATTTATTATATACCAGTAGATGCAGGGTTCTCCCCAGAAAAAATGCATAGTGCTGCAACTAATTTGCATATTAATTTTCATATCATTTCACACACCTTTCCTTCATTAATAAACAGAACTTATTCACAATTGAATAAAAACAAACACAGATAAATTATTTTTGCAATTTAATTGTCTATTGTAAAACGTTGAACAAAACGCATTGGAAACGTTAAGCCAGAAATATGTTCACGAATTTCATGATTTTATATACTCTAAAAACATTCACCTTCAAAAAAAATCGACCACGTAATTAATTGGCGTATTTTTGTAATTTATTATTCGCACCATCAACTTCTAAAACGTTTACATTTACAGTAATGAGCGAACAAATAAAACTTCAAAACAATCATCAAAGTTACGACGTGACATAACTGACGTTATACACCGGTTATACCAATACCGGTAATTCCTCAATAAATGTTATTTCTTTTTTTTGATATGAAACTAAAGTAAAATCAGATTTATTCTTATCGGGAGCGATTAGTTTTGATCACTCGATTGCTTTGGTAAAAAAAAATAGACCCGCCATGTTTGTGAAACAATAGCATGTCCTTTGACCCGATGGGTTAAGAATGCCATTAACCAATCAAAATGCCGCATGGTAATGCCGGTAGAATCCAAAGTTTTCCAAGTGGTAATGATCATAAAAATTACATTGCGGAAGTTAAGCAATGTCGTAGCACGATGTGTTGGCATCGATTTCAATTGGTTTTCGAAAGTAGTGATTAGCAATTTTTAAAAGGTAAAATAGGTCTTGAAAGAAGAGTTTTTACAAGATTCGCGATGATAACAGTACAAATGTATTTTACCAAATCACGCAATAAACACGTTTTTTTTTTCTTGAGTAGCGTAAACTGATCGTGAACTCCGCTTTGACCATGTTATATCAAGGTGGAATTGATATTGAAAGAATTTTAGCTTACAATCTAAAGACTGTCTATCGCAGAAAGTATTTACTTACAAACAAAGAGGTGCTAATTTCACAAATTTGACTAGCCACTATGTATCGTGCGACTAGGTCTATTGTTTACAAATTATAATCCACGACTGGCAGGATGCGTGCCGGTAGGTACGTAATTATAATAACAATCGGACAACAGTCCTAATCGGAAGCGTTTCCGTTGTGGTCACTAATTTTGGGTGACTGTCGGGCTGACCAGCGTGGCGAACAAAGCTTTTGCACATCTGATATTGGCATGTCAAATATGAAATCAAGCGCTGAGGTTGGAACACATAGCGCCGAGGTCCCAAGTAAAGCGCCGAGATTCAAAAGTATAGCCTCGACCTCGACGATAAAAAGCCCTGGGGAGAACCCTGGGTAGATGTAGATATATATATATATACATATATACATATATATATATATATATATATACATATATATATATATATATATATACATATATATATATATATATATATACATATATATAATATATATATACATATATATATATATAATATACATATATACATATATATAATATACATATATACATATATATAATATACATATATACATATATATAATATACATATACATATATATAATATACATATATACATATACATATATATATATACATACATATATATATATACATACATATATATATATACATACATATATATATATACATACATATATATATATACATACATACATACATATATATATATATATATATATATATATATATATATATATATATATATATATATATATATATATATATATATATATATATATATATATATATATA